TCAATGCCGCCTCCGCTCCACGCGTGCCCTCAGGACACGCAGCACGGAGGGCTGGCGGGCCCAGCCGCCTGCGCTGAGTCACTCCTGGGCGAGCCAGGGCTGCAGGGGGCCTCGCTCACTGCTCTCCTCCCGAGAGCCACAGGGGCCAGCTGCCTCGGACCCCCAGAGCCACGGCGCCCAGACTGTGCGGGACGCCCTGTCCTCTTCTCTGCCGGGCACGGGCAGCCTCCTCCCTCCTGAGTGGATCACACCGAGGGAGACGCTGCTGGCGGAGCGCCCAGCCCGCTGCCCCGGGAGCCGCCTCGGAGCCACAGGGGGGTGCCCGGTGCCGGCCGGGACAGGTGTCAGTGAACGGCCTCTCAGAGCAGCATGTTCCGCCGTCTCCAGCGGAGACTTCGGGATGTTTCCCGGTGCGGGTTTTGGGCTCAGCAGACAAGAGTAAGCAGGGGGCTCCTTCACAAACCTGAGCTATCTGACCACACGCTGCACTCCAGCTGGTAGGTGAAGCTCCTCTTCAAAAGGGGACATTCACGCCAACCAGTGTGGCTCAGTGGCTGAGCGGTGACCCACGAACCAAGAGTTCGCTGGTTCAATTCCTGTGGGCTCAAACTCCAACAGAGGGCATGCAAGAGGCAGCCGACTGATGATTCTCTTACCACTGACATTCCTATTTCTCTCTCCCTCTCCCTCCTTCTCTGAAATCAATAAAATTATATATTTTTAGAAAAGGGAACATTCACTGAGAAGCATAGATTTATTTTTTTAAAATTGCCCCAACCCCAAACAGCATCCTGGTGATGGGCCTCAGTTGAGGCTGACATGAGCAACAATGGGGGGAGGGGGAGGCAGTGAGACGTGGGAGCTCCTCGGGGGTTCTAAGGACGCAGAGCTGACCCATTCTCACCGCCACCGCCTCTGATCTGAGCCACCACACTGTCACCTCACTTACTGCAAAGCCGACCCCAGGCCTCCGTCTGTTCCTGACTCACTGTCCCAGGGACCCTATTGGATAAAACCAAACACGCCCTCCTCTCCCCAGAGCCCAGCCTCTCCCCTGACCCACCCGAGAGCAGAAGGCCTGGCCGGCTCTGGCGCACTCTCAGCCCCATGACCACCGCGAAGGGAAGCTGAAGTGGGAGCACCGAGCGTCTGCTACGACCCTCTCCCTCTCGGCCACTCGCCGGCCCGGCCAGGCTGCCCTGCCCACAGCCCCCCACTCCCTGCTCTCCTCTCCTCTCGGCACAGAATACACGTCACGGATGTGCATACCACACCCCTCCCTGCTCACGTATGTGCTGTCTCCCCAGCACAGACTTGTTTGTGTTGTTTGCCGCTCTTTCCCAGGATGTGTGAGCACGCCGGACACATGGTGTCTGCTCCACAAATATGTGCTGAATGAATGGATTCCATGAAATTAAAGACATACAGGCGGAGCACACTGCGAGGTGTCGCCATGAGCATACGAGATACTTCACTGAGCGTCTGTCTGTATCTCCTTACTCCGAGGAGAGCGAGACTCACAAAACCCCGTGTGCCCCCAGGGCTCCCCGAGGACCCATCACCCCGGGCAGCCTGCAGCGCGGGCAGCCGCCTCTGGGAGGGCCATGTGACCGGCTCCGCGGTGAGCTTCGTGGCTGGCCAGCGGTGCTTCCGGCCACCAGGCGGCGCCCTAGAAGGAGGGGTGACTCTCCCCCCGCACCTCCTGTCTGACGCACTCCGAGCACTGCCTGCGGCCGGAGCCAGGCCGGGCCCCGGGAGGTCACTCACCCTGTCACCCAGGCTGTGGGCTCTGAGCTTCTCACGCGGAAAACAGTCACATGCAACCCTCTGTGACCGCCTCATGGCACACCCTCCCCAGCACACGCTCCACCTGCCGCCAGCAGCAGCCACCACTCTTTCCAAGTCAGTCTCTGGAATGTTCCAGACTGCACCCCATGAAGCATCGATGAAGCACTGCCCTCACCACCCACCCGGGGTCCGCTGTTTTCTCTAGGCTACACCCGCAGATTGCCATTTAAAAAAAAATATATATATTTTATTGATTTTTTATAGAGAGGAAGGGAGAGAGATAGAGAACTAGAAACGTCGATGAGAGAGAAACATCGATGAGAGTCATCCATCAGCTGCCTCTTGCACACTCCCTACTGGGGATGTGCCCACAACCCAGGTACATGCTCTTGATTGGAATCGAACCTGGGACCTTTCAGTCCGCAGACCGATCTCTACCACTGAGCCAAACCGGTTTCGGCAGATTGCTGTATTTTAAGGAGTCGTCTTTATGGAGAAGAGGGAGATTCCGGCCACAGCCTGGGTGAGACTCAGGATGAGGAGGCGGCTGGACTAGTAGCGGCCCTCAGGACAGCAGAAAAGTTACGTCCCACCAGCCCGGGGACATGACTGTCCTTTGCCAGCAGGCTGCTGCTTCCGGTCTCCCCCATCCACCAGCTACCCCTGCACCGCCAGCAGCTGGAGACAGCTAGAGAGCGGCCTCCTAGCACCATGCTCTTTGTTTTCTGTGGCCTCCAGGGACTTACAGAAAGATGCTGTCACTGCTACAACCCTGCCCCCATCCAGCCCGTCCCCATCCAGCCCTGCCCCCAGTGTCTCGAAGGTTTGGGGAGAGTTTTCGAAACTGGATGAAAACAGTAGCAGCAAAAGCACAGATGCGTTTCAAAGGCAGCGAGGCTAACTGCGCTGGCCTGCTGGGAGGGCCCTGGCCTGCTGGGAGGGCCCTGGCCTGCTGGGAGGGCCCTGGCCTGCTGGGGGAGGGGGGACCTGGCCTGCTGGGGAGGGGGGGGCCTGGCCTGCTGGGGAGGGGGGGCCTGGCCTGCTGGGGAGGGGGGGCCTGGCCTGCTGGGGAGGGGGGGCCTGGCCTGCTGGGGGAGGGGGGGCCTGGCCTGCTGGGGAGGGGGGCCCTGGCCTGCTGGGGAGGGGGGGCCTGGCCTGCTGGGGGAGGGGGGGCCTGGCCTGCTGGGGGAGGGGGGGCCTGGCCTGCTGGGGAGGGGGGGCCTGGCCTGCTGGGGAGGGGGGGCCTGGCCTGCTGGGGGGGGGGGCCCTGGCCTGCCGGGGAGGGGGGGGCCTGGCCTGCTGGGGGAGGGGGGGCCTGGCCTGCTGGGGAGGGGGGGCCTGGCCTGCTGGGGGAGGGGGGGCCTGGCCTGCTGGGGGAGGGGGGGCCTGGCCTGCTGGGGAGGGGGGGCCTGGCCTGCTGGGGGAGGGGGGGCCTGGCCTGCTAGGGGGGCAGGTGCCGTGATCTGAGGAGCGGGAGCTGCACGCAGCACGCGGCAGGTGCCTCAGGAATGCAAAGGGGCAGGCAGTAACCCCCCCCCCCCCCCCCCCCCGCCCTGAGCAGGCCTGTGGTGTGTGGCCCCAAAAGAGCCCACGTGCACTGGGCGCGGGTGGGAGGAGGGTCAGGCCTGGGCGGCGCACGTGGCATCTGAGGGCTCTGACGCCCGGGTGGCAGCGCGTGTTAGGAGCCAGGCCACCTCCGCAGGGCCCCTCCGCAGTTAGCACACCGCGCAGCCAGCTTCAGGCCAACCCCCAGGCTGCCCACTCCTCGGTCCTGAGGAGGCAGCAGCAGCTGCCCATGACGGGCACCTCTCCTCCACACTGACAAGGCAGCCCGCACGGCCGGCCTTCCTCCTCTCGGGGACGCCGCAGCCTCGATTCCTGTGAACACGGCACTGACAGCAGTGTCACTGGACTCCAGGAGTGAAGACACTGCTCTGAGCAGAAACGTCCTCTCTGGGGAGCTCCGGCTCTGGCTCCAGAGCCCCAGGAAGGAGCCTTGAGAAAGCACAGGCCGCCACTGGCCAGAGAGCGGAGGATGGAGAACGGGCTCACGGACACCGAGCAGGGGAAGCCAGCGGCCGAGGCGCACCTGGGCCATGTCATCCCACGCCTGAGCAAGCGGCACTGGCGCCACCCGGCACAGAGGGCAGGTGGGAGGCTGCCAGCTGAGCTCGGGGTCACCGCCCCAGCCCACAGGGACAGCTGCTCCCGGAGCGATGGGCTGCAGAGCCGGACAGTGGACGCCCGGCCGCGGGCACTGCTGCTCCGGTCGGGGCCGCTCGCAGAGCCGGACGGAGAGCATGCCCCGCTCCACCACTAGGCAGTTCGGCACCTGGTGTCTCCCCAGCTGCCCGAGGCCCAATACTGAAGACGACGAGGCTCTAGACCAGCGGTTGCCAATGGGTGACCCTCGAGGTCCTAAAGGTTGGCGACCTTTTCCCCAGACAACAAGCAAAAGCTGTGCAAAGCCCCGGAGCAGAGACACCCGAGGTCCAGTCTCAAACCACTCTACCCGCGTCCAAGCTCTCTGCGTCCGGCCCGCGCCTCCCTCAGCGCACCGGCAGTGATTTCTGGAAACCTGCGATCGGATCTGCCGCCTGGTGTTTCAGCACCTCCAGGCTCTCTGCTCGGAACTCCAATTGCCCGGCATGGCGCCCTGCCCCGGCCCCCGCGCTGCACGCCCGCTCGGGTGGCACAGGGACGGAGGGTTCCCAGGCCTCCCCACACCCCCACGGGCTCCTGGCCGCCCTGCGGTGCCCTCCTGCTCCCGCCGCTGTGCTCTGTGTGGCCTCTGTGCGGCCTGCCCGCCTCTTCAGGGAGCACCCACATTTCCTGCTCAGATTCATACTCCGTGACTCTAAGTGATGAGAACACGCGTCTTGAAAGGTTCAGGCTTAAAGCAAAGGGGAAGACGCTGAGCAGGTGAGCAGCGTGTCCCAGGCCCTACCCCGCCAGCGGGCACCATCCCAGGGGCACCACCCCACCACAGACAGACCTAAACCCCAACCTCCGAGTGACCTCTCTCACCCTTCGGAGCCCTCCCCGTTCACCGAGGCCACGCGGTGCCTGCTGGGTGCCGGGAGAGCTGTGGGGGGAAGGCAGCCTCGCCTGCCTGCGCCTGTGCAGAACCCAAGGACACGGCCCGAGGTCACCATCCGCGAGGAGCCCTCCTCCACCCCCCCCTCCCCCCCGCCCCCCGCCGGCCCACTCACCAGCTGGAACTCGCTCCTGCGGCTGAAGGCCTCCCGGATGCCCGAGTCGCCCCAGAGGGCGCTCAGGGCGGGCACGTACAGCTGGAAGGTGGCGGGCTCCACGGGCAGCCCGGCCTTGTTCTCGAAGGCCATGAGGAACATGCCGTGCTTCTCATTCTCCGAGTGCTGCCACGGGATGCCCAGCTTGTCCCGCGCGTCCACCAGGACCTTGGAGCCCTGGGGAGGGGAGAGGAGAGGAGCAGTGAGCTGCAGAGGCCAGACCGTCACAGCAGGACCCCGCTGTCCGCTGCCACCCAACGGCCTCGGGGGCGGGTGCCGTACCCCGGGGACACGGCTGTGCCCGCAGTCACACAGCAGGCGGCGTGTGCCCTTGGCTGCCCCTCACCGGGGGAAGACGTGGCCACCCCGAGCAGAGCCAGCACTGAACGGGCCACGGCAGGAGGCGACAGTGGATGGAGCGGTGGGGCACTCCCCGGGGCCACTCCCTGCCGGGCGCCTGCCCGCCCCACGCACCAGCAGGAGGGCGGGCTGGGACCCCACGGAAGCGGCGAGGCCCCAATGGCAGCAGCGCGTCAGGCAGAGGTGCTCCGCGCTCCTGTCTCGGCCCATCCCCTGGGGTAGGGGTGTCGAACTCAATCAGAGAAGGGGCCAAAATCTAAAATCCAGCCTAAATCGCGGGCCGAATGGTTTACTGAACAGTCATAAACTGTCATTGTGATGGAAACGCAGCGGAGTGCAGTGATGACAGCGCGGTGGGGGCCACATTGCAAGGCCTGGCGGACGGATTTGGCCCGCGGGCCTTGTGTTTGACACATGTGCCCTGGGGCCTCCATCCCCCACTGTCTCTGATGACATCTCAACAGACCCCCCACCCAGAACCCCAGAAAGAGGCCTCCTGGCTGAGGCCGCTGCTCCGGACAATCCCCCTCCCCCGCCCTGCCCCGCAGCTCACAGCGCACAGTCAGACCTCCAGACTCTTCACAGGAGAGGTTAGCCTCCGGCGCCCAGTCTAACTCACACGTTACCCGGAACCTCTGCTCCGGCCGCTCGGTTCCGCCCGGGGATGGAGGCAGGAGCCACACCGACGGGAAGGGGGCCCTTCCCCAAGGCTGCCCCGCCCTGAACGCCAGGCCGCCACCGCTCACTTGCCACGTAGTCTCCTCACCGGAGGACAGCGGCATCCAGGAAAAGATGTCTCTTCTGTCCTTTACAGTTCTCCGCGGGGAACCTGAGCATCCACACCGGCCCGGTGGTTCCTGCTCCCCCCTGCAGACCCCACGCCCCCTCCGCACCCGCTTCCTGTCAGCGAGAGCGGACGGTGCGGAGCGGACAGTGGTACCGTCACCATCACAGCGGGCACGACAGAAGAGCCCCCTCCCGATCACTGCCCACAGAGGCCCATTCCTCACAGAAAGCCCAGGGAGAGAGGTGAGGGCCGAGGACAGCTGACTGCGCCTGCGAACAGCCCGGGCTCAGTAGGGAGGGCTGTTCCCACGGTGACACGTGTCACCCAGTCCCCAAACACACAGCCAAGCCCGAGCCCGCGGTGACTTCATCTCAGGATTATGCGGCACCCGGAACTGGTCAAGCACACATTTGTAAGACAGTCTGTAAGCAGGACTCACACGCCCAGTCACAGAACGGGCTCCCTGTCTGCTGGGGACGTAGGTTTTGGGAGGGGGGGGGGTGTTTCTGGTTTTACTGGACGGACACCAAAAATCGCAAACGCTGTGCCCTCATTCCCCAATGCATTGTGTTAGTTCCACTCTGTCAGAGCCGGCCTTCTCGGATGAGCTGCCCTCGGAGAGTGCGCATACGCGGGTGCGGGCGCCTGAGGCCTGCTCCGGAGCCTGGAGGGACACCGAGGAAGCGGGCCGGGTGTGCCCTTGAACAGCCGGTTCTGCTGAGACCCGAGGGGGTGGCTGGCCGCTGGCCCCGCCCAGATGGAGACCTGCGCCAGGAACCACACAGCACGGTCCTGGGTCCTATGCAGAGGCCGCACGCAACGCGATACAGGAGAGCAGCCCGCGGACAAAGGGTCCCCAGAGCTCGATGGCAGGCCTGCTGGCCTCCTGGTCCAGTCCCCTGCCCCCCGCCCCCCCATTCCTCTCGGGAACAAGGCCTCGCCTCCCTCTCATGGACCGGCTGCTCCTCACCAGTCCCTCCTGGGAGCCGCCCACCTGCAGCCCTCGGGGGCGATGGTAGGAAGCAGGGGCCTGCTCGGCCAGCTCCCCACGCTTCACCTGCAGGTGTGGGCCTGGCATGTCATGGGAAACCAAGGCTCGGAGGTCGCGAACACGCCATCTCTCACAGGCCTTGAGCTTCCATCAAGGTGTGGAACGGGCAGATGCAGGGATCCCAAAGGCGGTTTGCGACGCTCCAGTTGCATGTCACCGCCGTCACACTGCGCCCGCCCCAGAAAACACTGCTCGGCGCCCACCGCCTCCGGCTCGCTCCACTCGGCCGCGGGAGGGCGCAGTACCATGCCCAGGTCACCGTGAGACGGACGCGGCTCAGGAACTCAGAGTGCCGGTGTTAACCACCCTCTTCCCGCACCTCACCGGGTGTGTGGGGGACAAAGCAGGGGCAGGAGGGCTGGCTCAGAGCAGGCACGGACTCCAGAAGGAGATCTGAGCTGAGCTGGGAGGACACAACATTTCCGGTTCTTTCTAGAATGCTTTTTAAAAAGCATTAGATCTAGGAGTAGGGACATGCTGAACGCCTGGTGAACTCAGTGGAGATGAGATCAGACCCTGCTTTACAAACAGCGAACGCCTTCCCTCACCACAGTCAGAGCAGCGTGGCTGAGACCCGGCCCCGGGGCTGTAAGCGGCAGGACGGGCCAGTCCCCACTGAGATGTGTTAGAAACACACAGTGCACTGCAAAGACTTCGCACAAAAAATAAATGGAAGTATTTTCAACTTTTAAATATGATTATGTGTTGAAATTATAATATTGTGGATATTTTGCATTATTAAAATGCGTCATTTTACTTATTTCTTTTACCTTTCTCAACGTGAGCAATTCAAAATACGTGTTTTTTTTCAATGATTTGAGAGAGAGAAGAAGGGAGAGGGATAGAGAGATAGAAAGGAACATCCATGACACACAAACATCCAGTGGCTGCCTCCTGCACACCTCCTACTGGGGATTGAGCCTGCAACATGGGCAAAATATATTAAAAAAAAAATATGAGCATTGGGAACAGCAGTATTTAGTAGGAGCTCAAAGGCTAGCTTTTTATTCCATTATTATATTATAGGCACTCATTTGATCAGATATATCAACTGCTGCTTTTCCTGTATTATAATCCACTACAATTTTTGGTTTCAAGTAGTGACCTGATCTATTTCAACATTCACTATCTCTGACGTATGTTTTGTTGGAAGAAGTAAGATGTTCTGCTTATCTTTCCATTTTAAAACGGTTATTCCTTTTTTGTTCTCTTTTCTTTTTTTAATATATTTTATTGATTTTATACAGAGAGGAAGGGAGAGAGACACAGAGTTAGAAACATCGATGAGAGAGAGTCATCGATCAGCTGCCTCCTGCATACCCCCTACTGGGGACGTGCCTGCAACCAAGGTACATGCCCTTGACCAGAATTGAACCCGGGACCTTTCAGTCCACAGGCCAACGCTCTAACCACTGAGCCAAACCAGTTAGGGCCTTTTTTGTTCTCTTTTGCTATATTTTCTCCCCATTTTAATTTCTTTGGTATTACTTCATGAGGATTTATTTCCCTGTCCATCTGAACGTAACTTTCCTACTAAATCAGTATTATTATCGAGTAATTTATATGCTAAAGCTAAACCCGTGGACCAGTTGTCTGTGTCCCTGTGTCCCTTATTGAATACATCTCCACAAAGAGACATACAACATTCGTTGGTGTCATATTTTCTTTTTCTAAACTTTTCTTTTCCCTGCACATACACAGAAAGCATGTGTGTACCCAGATCCACAGCACAACTTCAATAACTTAAAATGAAGCTCATTTCTTTCCGATTACAAAACACTATTTTTAAAAAATATATATTTTATTGATTTTTTCTGTGAGAGTTAGAAACATCGATGAGAGAGAATCATCGATCAGCTGCCTCTTGCACACCCCCTACTGGGGATGTGCCCACAACCAAGGTACATGCCCTTAACCAGAATCGAACCCGGGACCTTTCAGTCCGCAGGCCGACGCTCTATCCACTGAGCCACACCGGTCCTGACGCAAAACACTATTTTTTACTGTAGGAAGTAGAGGAAACGATACAGAGAAGCGAATTAGCCTCACAAACATCGCTGCTGGAGGGAACTGGTGTGAACAGCTGAGAACGCTGTCTCGTTCCCTGCGATGACAGTTCACACTCACGTTCCTCCGCGTTAGGTCCCGGTGGCGGCACGGAGGGCGGCCCGCTGCTTTAGCCCCGGCCGCAGTCAGCACGATGCCCTGATGATGCCCCGCGCTGCACACGGTGCCACGCCTGCTCCGTACTACGGATCTGCACGGCTCCCTCCCTTCCCCTTCTCACCCGGCCCACCCGCCCAGCATGTCAGCCCGGGTCTGTTCTCAAAAACAACGCTATCTAGAGAGAACATCTGAGATCTGAGATGTGCTGGTCTCGCTCCCGATGGAATCTCTGTGACATTTACCTTTCGCGTGTTCAGGCTCTGGTTGGCCACCAGCACGTCCCACCTGGATTCCTGCAAAGCTCCTCGCTGCTCTCCTCACGTCAGCTCTTGTCCCCTCCGGTCATTCTCAAACCAGCCACCATCGCATTCCTCTGCAGCCCCACCGACTCTCTCTCATGAGGGTAGGCGCTCCGGGCTCCACAGAGGCCCTCTGCCCCCGACCCCGCACCCAGCCCGCTGCCCCTGCCCCCGCTGCCCTCCTCATCTCCTGCCTGCCCTGGGCCAGGGCCTCCCTGCGTCTGCCTGGGGCCTGCCCTGCTGGCTCCTGGTGCCTGAAACCAGCTGCCAGGATCCCCATGGCCCCCGTCCCTCAGTCCACAGCCGCTACGCAAAGGTCAGCCTCAGCGAGGGGCTGCGTGGCCGCCTGAGCGCTCCCGGCCTCCGCCCCAGCTCCGCGCAGGCCTGACTCGTCCTCGCTTCTGTCCCCTGGGAATGGGAGGCCCGAGGGCGGCTCCGGGTCTGGCTTGTTCTCCCCGCAGCCCTAGGCCTGCACGGTACGTGACCTACTCAGTGACAAGGGCCTGGGTCTCGG